TTTTTTTTAACTGAATGAGAAGAAATGTAAGGCCAAATATCCTCACAAACAACGCTTAAGTGAAATCAGTTTGCAACTAAGCAGTTCGAAAATTTTGCAACACGTCTGGAGAAAGACGTTCCTCGTGACGCTGTAATTCACTAGAGTAAAACGTCCGTTTATTATGTTTGTTTTTGCATAATAACTGCTATACATACCGTAGAAGCACCTTCCTTTTTGTCATCGCCGCTGACAACATGCGCCATTCTCTGCGGCTTCGGCCGCATGCTTGGCCACAAGTCACCGAAATCGGGATACATAGCCTTATTTATGAATCAGTAGTAGGTAAACGTTGCAGAAGTGTATGTATATTGTTCATTGTCAATGCTGCTTAAACAACATGCCTAACATTAAGTCAACACTCGCCTGCATTTTCGTCTTTTCCGCTTCGCGTTGCGAATGATGTCTAGGCCTACACAAAACGAAAGTAAAATGTGCGCATGTCTAAATGTAAGGGAGATCACTCGTGTTTTCCCGCAGTATATGTCTGAAATCATTCCGAAGGTGTTGTTGTTTTTGTGTATATTGAAATAAAAGAGTCCTGTTATATGGTAATACTTCAATAAACGAAAAACACAAATCACACCAACAGACATATAAAATGTAGGCCTATCGGAGCATATTTTCGTTTCTGGCTGAGCTGTAATTAGCGAGAAGGCGATATAAAAATGCAATAGCATATCTTATGATGAAAATAGAACAAAATGATAATACTGCGAAGGTAAAAAAAGCCTTCAGGTTAGAATACCAATATGGAACTAGAGAAGGACAGTGGCTAGTTCTAACATGATTCCCGGTCTCATCTGCCCCGGCCGGTTGATCCCATTTTAGTTAGGCAAGCCTGGTGTGAATCACACGGAGGCGATTTTAGAATTAATTGACAGGATCCGTATCCATTAATAGGTTTGTAATATGAACTTTTTATGTTGATCTCCTACATAATTGTAAGTTATACTCCGCCTTATATTTCGTTAAATTATCAAGTTTACGTAACAAGTGCAAGCGAAATCCTAATTGACTGCCATGTTGGAAACTTCCTCAATCTTTCCGATATAGGTCAGACGTCTAAATATGGGTGTCATGACCAAATATGGAAATTGTAGTAAACATGACCGCATCAGTAGTAATACTATATTTGGCCGTGAAGGCCATATAAGGAAACGGATAACATCACGCGTGATCTAACATGGCCGTCGTTTCTTTTTTTAGAGTTTTTAGTAAGGATTTGTTATTTTAACGATGAACGAATATGCAATATTTTGATAACATTATAATCATATGAAGCGTGAATCAGATATATTATTACTGATTAGCACTTTTGATTATCCTCAGTTAGTTGGAACAGGACCGCTTCATAGCTCTGACCACGCAATATATAATTGTAAACAGGGACGTAAATGTCACCAATTTTAGCCAATCACAGGACAATATTTCCGTGTAAAGGGTTAATCCAGCGACAGTTCCAAGAGTAAATACGAAGTTTTAGAAGGATACTTAGTTCTAACTAAGAATAAGATTATATCCAATGACGTTTGAGTGAACTTGAGTCCGTGGTAATGGATTTTATTTGCAGTTTGTTTAGTATTACTAGAAGGTGACGTTATGTCTCGTTTATGAATATCTGAGCTCATTAACTGAAGTATTTTTACCGGAAGTTGCGTGTAGCATGCATGACCTACATTCAAGTAGCAGTTCCCGATTGAGATAAACAGGGTGCATTTTCAATAAGAATACGACGTTGTGATAAGATCATATGTTCTATAAAGAAAAGTAATGATATTTACAAGCCATTCAAGTGCATTTGAGTCCAAAGTTACGCATAATAAAGACAGTAGGTCCGGTATATGATTCAATTTAGTACCAGTGACTACCGCTAGAGGCCGTCTGTGTGAAATCGACATTTATGAATATCTGAGCTCATTAACTAAAGTAATACCAATAGCTGGCGGCTAACGCCTTAGCTAAAAATAATGTAAGCAACATCATAGGATATAGGATATAGCTAAAATATTTTGAAAACAATAAGCCCCCCGGCTAACGTTAGCCGAAGTAGTAGAATTTACACTGATGCATCGTTGACCACTGATACTGCAGTGTGTAAACAACGACAAAGAGATTGAATATACCGGGAAAATTAAAGCGTGAAGATGCTGAAGCTGGAAAAATAGCACAACAATAGGAAACTTACGCCTTTTTTAACTCTGCCACTGACGCCTCCTCCGGTACCCCAAGCACCTTGTAGTAGCTGACCATGATGTATTATGGGGTGCGACTCTCCCCCGACTCCAGCACTGTCCGACTCGTTAGCAGAGGATGTCAACACCTGAAAGTAAACAAACATATTTATCATTACTTTACACTTAACTCCACTTTTTTATATTCCACTTACACATTAACCCTTTCACCACTGTAGACCAAAATGGACTCATCCAGATCAATGTATGGTAGAGTCTACCAAAGTTACCTAGGGGTGAAAGGGTTAAACATAGAAAAAATTGTGATATAACTTCACCAGTCTGAGTGATAATATAAATGTGATCGCAATGTGCCATCTCAACATGTACACAACATTACATTTGAAAGGTCACGATAACTGACAATCACCTGTTACTTCCAGGTGAAGTCATTAACAAAAACATCATCAGGTTTTCTGTTGAATATATCATCTATAGTTCTGTTAAAAAATTGCCTTAAGGTAACATTAGCAAAACACCTACTCCCATACTTATTTATATACCAGAACATAGGTATTAATATTGTCTTATAAAAAATTCTCAATATTGAAAAAATCTGATTTCTTATAAAATCTACTCAATATTAACCCTACATGTATATACATGTGTTTTCTGCCTCTTTGTCTTATCTATCCAATCCACAGGATTTCATGTTAGACAGGTTTCGACGTAACAAAACAGATAACTTTTTACACACTTACTTTTACACAAGATTAAAGTGAAATCTCGAAGTTTTAGAAAACCTATGATGTAACAGTAGCACAGTAGAATCCCGGTATTACACAACATAAACAAGACGTGTATGTATTTGTGGATCCCCAGTATAGTTGTACACCTGTAGTTATATAGCTTGTAATAGAATCAGAATGTTCTGGGAGTCACAGGAAATCCTGTAGATGACAAAGATCTGTTAACATTAAATCATACAGGGCAATTACATCACTATATAACTAAACACAACAAACTGACTGTTTCTCTGGTAAATACCCACAATATCATTTTCAAATTGCCAGAGGCAACATGACAATATGACTTCACACACATACAGACGTTTAAACATGTAACTAACTCAAAATTGAAGTGCATAATATACATACAGAACAGTAAGATTTAGACAAAGAATATAATTTATTGTTATATTACCTCAATTTGATCAGTTTTCTTCAGTTTAATTATCTCCCAGGTCATTCAGTATGAATCTTTTTACTTGAACAACAATTAGCCCATCACATACAATTTACTTCCTATTTAGCCTGATCCCTGCAGATGTCACCTAGAAAATTTTATGTATACACTTTATGTCACTTCTACCAATATATATATACTGCCCTGCTGTTCAGCTGATGTTTACTACATGTACATGATAATACATATCACTTAGGATCCATTTACAGAAACAGTTTGCATGTCTTACCCAAAGTCTGTGTATAATGCTTGATGACAAATATGTTGTCCAACAAAATGCAATATTGAACAACCTACAGCACCGCTATAAGGTCCAATATGGCCTACCCTTCGTCACAGATTATATATGTGCAGAATAAGGTTTTCCGGGAATTCTATTTTTATCCACAATGAAACAGATAGTTATCTAGAAAAGTTTAAAGAGGGTATAGAGCATATCTGATCCTGAGCAACATTAGTATCATTACATGATCAGTAAAGGCACATAATGGCTTTAAAAAAAATCCTGAAATCTGTCAACAACTAGAGTTTGCAATAAGACAAATTCCATTCAAAGTATAGGAAATTTTGCAAACTTTAATTTGTTTTGATTTTCATTATTGAAACATTATTTTTTTTCATCTTTTAATTTTTTATATATCTCCCTTTAGCCCTAGCACAAATGTAATTATATTCCTCTCAGGAGGATTTGGGGGATCAGCAAAATAAAATGAATTGTTATCTTGCATGAAATAAAGATTTTTGGAAAGGAAACTATCAGTAACTCCTTTCAAAACATATTTACCACAGTAAAAATGCTTTTTGCCTGAAAAGTGAATAAATGTTGTGATTTTTTGTGAAGACTACACAGAGCTAGAACTTACCAGATGTGTCGGTTGGGTTTGTTCCACCATATAACACAATCAATATATACTGTACCTGTAGCTTGTTTACTTTATCGCTAGTTATATATGTATACCTGAACCTTCTAGAAATGCTAATAATAGATCTAAAGCACAAATAACATACAGCCAATATTGAACCCTGAATATGTCGGTCAGGATAGATCTGTAATAACAGGTCTGCTATTTCTAATTTACACCTGGTTTGAATAAAACCTCCAGAAATTGATGATGATCCATGCCTTTTTATAGTTGTTTATGGGGTCTTTTCACCACAGGATTTTATCTAAAATGTTCTTTTTTCGCTTAATTTCAGCTCAGCTGGAATGAAGTTTTTGATAGAGTTTAATTTATATCGTGGGCAAGAAATAAAAGGTAGGATACAGCACAAGTTCTCACCCACACATACATACATACATGTACATGTAGTGTTAAGTGATCAGACCCATTCATTCTTCAATATTCTGTTAAAATTTACACCAAAAAAAAATCAAATTAAATACTGAGAGATTAAAATCAAGTGGTTAAAAAAGTCTTCAATCTATTTTTATTTCGTGTGTTTACCGGTAATTGCATTTTTACATGCAGTTTCACTTAATTCAGAGCAAATTTTCCCATCAGTAATTCAAATGGACACTGGAGCCTATAGCTATTAGTAGTAAATCCCTTCATCCGGTGCTAAAGGTACAGAATTTCTTACATCCTTTTCTCAAATATTTCAAAACAACTACTTCAGAACTTTTACTTTTACACAACCAATCCCTAGCATCCTTTTGTAGGTACATGTGCCTATATATGTTTTCATAAGTAGGCAAGTATAATAATGTCAGCAAAAATAGCAGAATGTACCTGTCATGTTCTGGCCAATCTTCCCTCGCATTACCTTTACAAATATTTACAACCACTACCGCGACTCGTAAGTTCATGACGCCAGACTCGGGGGTGGTAAATATATGCACCATTTCGTACACTTTGGCAAAGCCAAAGCGTTTTATTGCAAATTCTTTTCATGGTTAGACTAGTAAATACCTTAGAACTAACGTCATCACTCCAAAGATGTAAGAATACATTCACCTTTGAAATTCATTGTTCACAGAAGTATTTACATGTTTTTCGTCATTTTGTCATTTCAGAGTTTGTTAAATCTAAATGAATTTGGGCTGCGGTGGCCAAGCGGTTGTGGTGTCTGATTGGGGGCTGCGGTGGCCAAGCAGTTTAGGGGTCTGACATTCCGCTACCACTAACCCTCCACCACTAGGTTGCTGGTTCGAGACCTACATGGGGCAGTCACCAGGTACTTGCCGTAGGTTGGTGGTTTTTCTCCGGGAACTACGGCTTTCTTTCTCCATCCAAACCTGACACGTCCTTATATTAAATGACCATAGCTGGACGTAAAACACAAACAAACCAAAAGACTACTAAGTAGTACACTAGACCACCATGCTACTGTGCAGTTACATAAAATATTTTCAAAAGCCTTTTTTTTATTCCCGTCACATCATCAATGTTACCAAACTACTGTATACTGGGACATTTATGCCCAGTCAAACTTTCGCCCATGAATTCAATTTTCTCCCAGAAAAGATTTCATCCATCATACTTAATTTCTATGTACATATATATCTACAATGTTGTTTATTAATGTTCGCTGTAATGATAAATTTGCCCTCATTATGCAGGGCTAAAAGCAAACTGCAATGACAACTTCCTGGTATACAGTATCCGGTCATGAGTATATATATATATATAGTAGATAATAAATAAATAAGTCCTTGCGAAGAAAAATATAGAATAAAAACATAATTTTTTCAGATCGTCCGCTAGGCCTTTCTGCCTTCTAGGGCTTCTTCAGGCGGATTGAAGAAGCCCTAGAAGGCAGAAAGGCCTAGCGGACGATCTGAATTTTTTTTTTTTTTTACTCTATATATATATATATACTTTGAAATATCAATTACATGCATATTGGCAACTCCACAAATGTTTAAAAAAAGCCTTCCTTTAAGAGTCCTGTGACGCTTGTTTTTCCTTTATATACAGAAACAACATCAACAAAGGAGGAGGGGGAGGGGGGAGATGAGGAGCTGATGAATCAGCTTCAGCAGCAGACTATTTTTAGTACATTCTGAAGAATTTGCCTCCCCCGTCTCTGGCGTACATCACCTTACACTTGTGTATGTAATTATATCTACAAAATGTACCTGAAGATAGCTTATCTAGCTATGCAGGCAAACAAAAACACGGAAACACAATTACATGTAGGTATGTACAGTGAGGGAGCTCTCCGTGACTACAGGCATGAGTGGGGCAATATGTACAAGTATTACACTTAACACTGCCCCGTCCATCTTCAAAAATGACCAGGTCTGGACAAAGCTAGACCATACAACAGAGACAATATATTATACAACTGCCCCTACATCATCTATATGGTAAATGTACAACTGCCCCTACATCATCTATATATGGTAAATGTACAACTGTCCCTACATCATCTATATGGTAAATGTACAACCGCCCCTCCATCATCTATATGGTAAATGTACAACTGCCCCTTCAGCATCTATATGGTAAATGTACAACTGCCCCTAGACCTACATAATCTATATATGGTAAACGTACAACTGCCCCTTCATCATCTATATATGATAAATGTACAACTGCCCCTACATCATGTATATATGGTAAATGTACAACTGCCCCTAGGCCTACATAATCTATATATGGTAAACGTACAACTGCCCCTTCATCATCTATATATGGTAAATGTACAACTGTCCCTACATCATCTATATGGTAAATGTACAACTGCCCCTACGTCATCTATATATGGTAAATGTACAACTGCCCCTACCTCATCTATATATGGTAAATGTACAACTGCCCCTACCTCATCTATATATGGTAAATGTACAACTGCCCCGACATCATCTATTTGGTACATGTACAACTGCCCCTACATCATCTATATATGGTAAAGGTACAACTGCCCCTACATCATCTATATGGAAAATGTACAACTGCCC